TGATGATGATGACGATGATGATAATGATGATGATGATGACGACGATGATGATGATGACGATGATGATGATGATAATGACGATGACGACGGTGATGTTGATGATGATGTTGACGATATTGTTAATGATGCAGACGATCCCGACGATGCTGATGCTGCTGCTGATGCTGCTTATGATGATGATGATGTTGATGATGATGTACTAAGGAGGATGATGCTGATGATGAGGGTGCTGATGATAATGGTGATGATGATGATGATGATGATGATGACGATTATGGTAGATGGTGATGATGATGTTGATGATTATGCTTATTCTGCTGATTCGCACGATGATGACGATTTCAATGCTGGTGACGATGCTGACAATGAGGTTGAACAGGATGATAATGATGATGGTGGTGATGATGATGAGGATGATGCTGATTAGGATGGTGATGATTATAGTGATGCTGATGATTACGCTGATGATGATGCTGATTATGTTGATGTTGTCGCGGCTGCTGCTGATGATGCTGGTTTTGCTGATGATGGCGATGCTGCTGATGATGACGATGACGATGACGATGATGATGCTGATGCTGATGATGCAGTTGATAAAGCTGTTGTTGATGATTATGATGATGCTGATGACGATGATGATGACGCAGAGGCGCAGTATGATGACGATTATATTGATGATGATGCTGCTGTTGATGCTGATTCTGCTGATGATGGTGATGCTGATTGCTTATGTGATCAAGATTGATGTTGCTGCTGGGATAATGGTGATTGTGATGATGATGGTCATGGTAATGCTGATGATGGTTGTGCTGCGGCTGCTGTTGTTGATGGTGATGATGATGATACAGACAATGATGATTATGATGATGATGGTGATTGTGATGATGATGATGATGATGATGATGATGATGATGATGATGGTGATGGTGACGACGGTGGTGGTGCTGATGATGATAATGAGGATGGGGCTGAGGATGATGATGATGATGCTGATGCTGATGATGATGCTGATGATGAAGATGCATCTGAATATGAAGATGATGATGACGATGACGACGATGATGATACTGATGATGATGGTGGTTGTGGTGGTTGAGGTGATGCTAATGATGATGTTGCTGCTGATGATGATGATGATGATGCAGTTGATGTTGATGATGATGACGATTATGATGATGAGGATGATGATGATGATGATCATGACCGTGATGATGATGCTGATGATGATGATGATGCTGTTGATGATGATGATGATGATGATGATGCTGGTGATGATGATTATGATGATGATGATGATGATGATGATGATGGTCGTGATGGTGGTGGTGGTGATGGCGATACTGTTCACGATGATGATGCTGCTGATGCTGACGCTGCTGCAGCGGATGATGATGATGATGATGATGATGATGATGATGATGATGATGATGATGATGATGATGGTGGTGGTGGTGGTGGTGGTAGTGATGAGGATGATGATTACGATGGTTGTGGTGATGATGCTGATGCTGATGCTGATGCTGATGCTGATGCTGATGATGCTGATGCTGATGCTGATGCTGATGCTGATGAGGATGATGATGATGATGATGATGATGATGATGATGATGATGATGATGATGATGATGATGATGATGATGATGATGATGATGATGATGATGATGAAGAGTAGGAGTAGGAGTAGGAGGAGGAGGAGGAGGAGGAGGAGCAGGAGCAGGAATGGGAGGTAGGTCGGACGGCCAATAATGCGATTGGGCGGTGGTGGACGGGGAGGAGGTATGGAAGTGGGATCAAGAGGAGGAATTGGAGTGGCAATGCTCCAACACGATGTATTGTTACCTGGCTGCCTCTTTCTGAGCTCCGCGTCCGACGATCAACTCAGGCCCAGCGCCGCAACGTCTAGGCCGAGCGAGCGCCGCGACGAGGAACTCAGGGATGGAGGCCAACTGCTCGATCGAATCCACATTCGCTTTGGTTCCATCTGCTTGCAATGACTCTGTGGCAGCAGAGGTGCGCTGCTGCTGCTGCCCGTCCCGACGTGCTTGCGCCGATGGCTGGCCAGTCAATCGTTGGTCCGGTGGCCACGGCAGCGTTGTTGCCAGCAGACGGTGCCCCTCGGAGCGCGTCGATTTCCCGCAGAAGCCGCTCCCGAGCATCGCTGGCCTGCCACTGCTGGGGTACGCACCCGCATCAGCTGCGCCACCGACTGGGCCCGTTGCTCCCGCGGCTCCGCTGCTCGACCAGCGCTGAGCGTTAGCGCTAGCCGCCCGAGCCTCGCGCACTCCCAGGAGGCCGAGGCGCGCCACGGTGTCGAACAAGCGGCAAGGGATGGTGTCCGGTGTCCGACGGCCCGCCGCGCAGCCCAAGCAGTGAACTCCTCGAGTGCCTCCGCGAGCTCCTTTATGCGGTCCGCCGCGGCGCTGCCCACACCCCTTAGAGCCGTCCGCAGTAGGGGGACGGGACCGTACTGCGGGGAGCTGGCCAGCCACAGCGCGATGGTGATGCTCGCGATGGTGATGCTCGGCTTCACGATGGCGATGGTCGAGGTGGTGGTGCTCGCGATGGGTAATGCTCAGTTTCACGACGGAGATGGTGATGCTCGCAACGGTGATGGTCGACGTGGCCGAGCGACTCCTTGCACCCGACCTGTCCTTGCTGCGGCGCCCGCTGCGCCCCTGGAGTGGCGCTCGGCCCGCCGAGGCTCCCAGCAAGCCCCCGTGGGACGCACGCCATGGGCGCCGCAGACAGCAGCGGGCTGGAGAGGGAGCTGCTCCCAATGGCCCGCCGCTGGGGAGACAGCGTCGGCCTCCGCGCGCAGCACCGACGCCGCCGCGCGAGCTTCAAGCCGAGGTCCGCGCGGGGCGCGCCGCAGCTCCGTGGCGCTGGCCGTGGCGATGCGGATGTCCGCGGCACGGGAGTGGAGGGCGATAGGGGGCCACATGCCTACCCCTGCCCCCCCCGATTTCTGAGGGGGAGGGTGGGGTTCACTTCGCTCGGGAGCCCCCGAACGAAGTGAACCCCACCCTCAGAAATCGTGGGGGGGCAGGGGTAGGGTTCGCACGTGGCCCCCCAGGGCGACGTTCTGCCTCGACGCGTCCGGCCGCGCGGCACAGCGGTCTGCCGCCCTGGGCAGCAGCGCCGGCAGCGGAGCCTGCGCCCGAGGCGCCGCCTCCCCCCACAGCCGGCGAGGGTGTCGAGCGTCTCCTCGGCAGCGTCGAGACGCGACCGGGCAGCAGCCGTGGAGACGCGCCGCTTCGCGACGGCGGGGCCTTTTGCCGTCGGGGTTGTCGTGCTGCTCGGACACAAGCCACAGGGGGAGGTCTTGGGGGGGCCGACGGGACCTGGCGCCACCAACCAGCGCGACCTGACAGTATCTCGATGTCTAGCCCCACGTGGACGTTCCAGGAGCCTAAGCACAAGGGCGCGCTCGAGGCTGCTCGGCAAGACCCCTTTGACAACCAACTGGTCGATCACCTGGAGCCTCGCCACACGCCGATCGGCTGAGGCGCGCGCTTCTGCAGTTCCGCGTACGCGGCCGCAACCATGTCTGATCGCTGCGCAAGCCGCGGGCGGTGCGGCGACAGCGTCTCGAGCTAGTTCCTCAATCAAGCGGCCCGTCGAGCGGCGCCGGCTGCTCCGGACCAGTGGGCCATGCCAACCTGATTTGAGCCGCGGGCTTCGCTCGCTGTTGATGGGCTTTGGCCACAATGGCTTGAGCCAGAATGGCTGCGGACGGATCAGAAGGATTAGAAGGAAGATGGGGACAGGAAGCATGATAAAGAAGGGGCGGAGCAGGGGTGGAGAGGGAGGTGGCGGGGGAGGATGAGGAGGATAACAAGAGGAGGGGGATAGAGGGAGACGGGGAGGATGGAGAGAAGGGCGACTGGATTTTGGCGTGGCCATCTGTTTTTTTGGGGGGCGCAGCTGTGTTCGCGCCCAGATCGGGTCCTCCATGGCCCGCGCTTGGCATTCAATTGTAATCGGAGGTGAGGGGGTGAGATCGAAGTGGAACGGAGAGCCCCCCTACCGGGAAATCGGTTTCGGTTTCGTGTTCGTGCGTGCCGTGCCTGCGGGCGAGGCGAAGCTGCGTGGGCGGGCGAGAAGAAAGTCTCCTCCGGCTGAGGCGCGGCCGGACCAAATGATTCCTCTCCGGGGGCCGGTGCCGCGCGGTGTCCCGCCGGTGTCCCGCCTCCGGCTGAGGCGCGGCCGGACCAAATGTTTCTTTCCGGGGGCCGGTGCCGCGCGGTGTCCTGCGGGTGTCTCGCCAGTGTCCCGTCGGTGCCCCGATGATGATGATGATGATGATGATGATGATGATGATGATGATGATGATGATGATGATGATGATGATGATGATGATGATGATGATGATGATGATGATGATGATGATGATGATGATGATGATGATGATGATGATGATGATGATGATGATGATGATGATGATGATGATGATGATGATCGATGATGTTGATGATGGTGGTGATGATGATGGTATCCCGATGATGATGATGATGATGATGATGATGATGATGATGATGATGATGTTGGCGATGTTGATGATGATCACGGTGATGGTGATGATGATGGTGTCCCGATGATGATGATGTTGATGATGATGTCGCTGATGATGATGATGATGATGATGATGATGATGATGATGATGATGATGATGATGATGATGGTGTCCCGGTGATGGTGATATTGATGATCCTGATGATGTTGCTAATGATGAGATGACGATGAGGATGATGATGATGATGGTGTCCCGATGATCATGATGATGAGGTTGATGATGATGCTGTTGATGATGATGGTGATGATGATGGTGTCCCGATGATGATGTTGATGATGATGACGATGATGATGTCCCGATGGCTCAAGGTGGAGGTCTTTCTGGGGCACGGCCCCGCGAGACCGCGCGCGCGCGCGGGGGCATGCGGCCGAGCGGGCGCCAGCCCGCGGTGGCCGCCCGCGCGGGGCGGCAGCCCGCGCCGGCGAAGGCGCCCAGGGGCGTGCCCGTCTGGCTGGTGCTGACCCTCGGCGGCGCCCTGCCCGTCGCGGCGCTCGTCACGGTGCGGCTCTACCTGGAGCTGGGCCTCGGGCCCGGAGGAGGGCCAGGATGGGGCGCCTCCGAGCGCGTGTCCTCCTGGAGCCACGCGGAGAAGCTGCGGGCGCTGGGCATCCAGGTGAGCTGCGGCGGCCACACCGCTGACAGCTGCGCCGAGTGCCCGCGAGGCCACGGCGAGACCTGGTGCAACGGCGAGTGCGGCTGGAAGCGCGGCTGGTGGGGAGGCGCCTGCGTCTGGAGGGGGCTCGGCACTCCGAACGGCACCGAGGCCGACCCCGGCTGGCCTGTTCCCCGACGAGGCCGCCCAGGGCCGCCTCTTCGAGCGCCTGGCCACCGACCCGAGGTACAGGCCCTTCGGCCCGGAGGTCGTCAGCAGGGACCCGTGGATCATCGTGTTTCACACGCTGCTCTCGGCAGAGGAGTGCGAAGGCGTTGTGAGGGACTGCGGCGAGTTCAGACCCGACGTCGTCGCTGGCGGCGTCAGGTCTCTGAACCGCACCAGCGACTCCTTCAACTGCGAGAATGACGAGGACTACATGCAGAGGCCCGGCATCCAGCTGTACAGGGAGAGGCTCGCCGGCGTGCTGCAGGTCGGGCTCGAGCACTCCGAGGGCCTCTCGGTGATCCGGTACGGCCCAGGGGGGCATTTTGACAGGCATCACGACCTCGTCGATCGGGAGTACGCGGCCGCGTACTTCGACAACTGCGGTCCCCGCGTCCTCACGTTCATGACGTACCTCACCGACGTGGAGGAGGGGGGCGCGACCCGCTTCGTCCACCTCGATGTGGACGTGGTTCCGAAGGCTGGCCGCGCGGTCGTGTGGGCGGACACCTGGGGCGACCGGCCCCTGGAGAAGGACGTCCGCACCATGCACGAGGGGCAAGCGGTGATCAGGGGCACGAAGGTCGTGGCCAACACGTGGTTCTTGCAATTCGACAGGGACGCCAACATGGGGGGGTACACGGACGAGGACCACACCACCGAGACGTGCCAGTTCTATGGCCTGCGCCAGCAGGTGGACATGGGTGGTGAGTCTATGTGTTGGTGCCAGGGCGATCTCATCACGCCCAAGGGCGAGTGCATGGACTACATCGCCGCCTTCGCGAACACCGTTGGGCCCGGTTGCCACGAGCAGAAGAAGTCGTTCAAGGACAAGGACAATCTGACGGGCGCGACGCTTCTTGCTTGCATCCTTGCTCCTACGCCTGCCAGTCCCGCCTTCCTCTCCTCAGCTCTTCCTCACGCCGGTCACTTTTTCGGGGATGCAACCAGCGATGGGGCGCTGGCTGCCGCGAGTGCCTATGAGAATTATTTTATCCAGTTTTGGTATACTTCTCCTACTCCTCCTTTCCCCTGCTCTTCTCCCCCATCTCCCGCTTCGTGTGTGAATTCGGGGATCTCGGAGGCGGTCGTGGTCATGACACGGCGCCCTCAAGTCCCACAGATACATCGCCTCTCTTTGCCTCCAGCCTCCTCTCCCTCCGAATGCGCTGAGCAGACTCTGTTCCCCCCCTGCCTTCCGCACCACTCTTCCTCTTGCCTGCCTGCTTGCCTGCACTCCCGTCGACCCCCACGACTCCGGACACCCGTGTGTGCTCGGCCGCAGGACGATCGACTGCCCCACGCAGCCCACGCCCGTGTCCGACCAACGCCTTACCCCAGCACGACGCCCAACTCGATGCCTTACCCCAGCCCGACGCCTCACCCGACGCCCTACCCGACGTCTTGCCCCAGCACGACGCCTCACCCGACGCCCTACCCAAACACGACCCCATACCCGACGCCCCACCCCAGCCCGACGGCCTACCCGACGCCCTACCCCAACCCGACGCCCTGCCCCAACGCGACGCCGTACCCCAACCCGACGCCCTGCCCCAACGCGACGCCCTACCCGACGCCTTGCCCCAGCACGACGCCCTACACCAGCCCGACGCCCCACCCCAGCCAGATCCCCGACCCGACGCCCTACCCCAACCCGACGCCATACCTGACGCCCCACCCAAACCGGACGCCCGACCCCTTCCCGTCGCCGACGACCTTCCCCCGGCGCCACACTGCGCTGGCGCAGGAGCCCATCCCCGCGAGCAATGCACTGACTCTGGGAGTCCCGTGCCCCAGCTCGGTGGAGGGCATCGCAGTCCTGACGTGCCGCTGCAACCAAGAGTGCGTCGAGCCTGGTGGTCCTGCGGGTTGCCGGGGCGCCTCTGGTGATCCAGGTGCTTCGGCTGCGCGCGCGGCTGGCCCGTCTCGTGCGCGTTCGTGGACTCAGGGGATGGTCCAAGTGCAATTGGGTTCAGGATCTCCGGGGCCTACTTTCGCCCACCCTCCCTACCCCCTCCGCGGGTTGCCCCTGGGGGCCACTCCAATTCCGACGTTCTCCTCCTCCTCCCCCTCCTCCTCTTCCTGTCCTCCCTGCCCGTTCTCTCCTCCCCTGCCTCCTTCCCGCCCGTCCCCGCACCAGCATGTCTGGATCGCGGGGTACGGCAGTGGGTTTATTTCTTCTCCTTCTAGGGCTACCCCGCCTGAGGAGCCCGCCGGCCCCTCGCCTGCGCCGCGCGCCGTGCTGCCGCTGCACGTGGAGGACTACTCGCCCGGGGTCGAGCTCGACGCCCTGGTCGCTTCGTCGTCTGGGGCGCCTTCGCGGACCTGGGGAGGCATCCAATTCCTGGCGGGGGCGATCGACCCTCCTTTTCCTGGGTCCTCGTGGGCCCTGGTCTCCGGCTCCTGGTCTGGTGTGCGGATTGGGGCTGATTCCCCAAACGATTATGGAGATCTTGACTCCTCCCCCACGCTTTGGCCGGCTCCGGGGGTTCCTGGTACGAAATGGCACCTCCCACTCTGTTCCAAATCCCCCAGGGGAGGCATGGGACTTTATCTTGGTGGGGATGCGACTTCGCGACCCCACCCTCCTATCACCCCACCCCTGATCGCCCCACCCGTCCCTCCCCCTGTTTGCGGTGCCGCCTGCTGCTGTGTTTCGGGGGCCCCGGAGTTTCTCCGCCACAGGATTGCGGCCCAGCCCCGTCTGCCAGGACCAACGCTTCGGCCGCCTTCAACCTGATCGCGCCCTCCATCCCTCGCCTCGGCGTGCATGCGGTGGTTGCGACGCCGGGCCCAACGGCGATGCGCACCTCGCCGGCGGAGCTGTACTTCCACGCCCACCTCCGCAGCTGCGCCGCCAGCGTGTCCGGCGCTTCTGGCACATCGTCTAGCCCCCTTGGCGTTGGTGTGCCCCAGAGTTTGTGGCCGCAGGCGCCGGCAGCGGTCGCGGCCCCGGTGATGAAGATCCTCCGCATGTTCTTGCCGGCGATGTCGACCACCCTGGACGTGGCGTACTTCTGCGTGCGCCCCTTGCCGAACCTGCTTGTTGACGCTATGGGCTGGGCCCCCCCGGCATTAGCCGGCGCATGCTTGGCCGAGTATCTTCACGCCGCCGGCGGCCAGATGATGCCCATTGTGATCCATGCGATCTTGATGATGGCGGCCTCCGGGGTGCCGTCGGCGCCCTTAAAGTTCCTAGCATTCGGGGCGGCTCTTCACGGAGTTCCTTTTCAACGTGTCTTGGCAGGAGCGTGCGGTGCCGCTCTATTCCGGGACGTCCACTTCTCGCAGCCGATCTGTACATGCATCACGCTTGCGACCACCATTGCATTGAGCCCGGGGTGGTATTCCACATGCTTGTCGTCTCCGTGGTGTTCCACATGTTTGTCACCTTCGGCGGGTTGGGCAGGACACGCCTTCTTGCTTCTCCGAGCCGTGCGGTCGCCCGCTTTTCCAGCAGGCTCCTCTTCTTCGGACGTGTGTGACGCGTGTCTCTTCGAGCGCCAACGCTGCACCTGCCGCCGCGGAGGCGGGAGTCGCCGGCCAGGGCCTCCCCCCAGCAGCAACGCCCCCAGCAACGGGGCTCGCAGCCGCTCCCCTCCACAGGAGTCGTCGTTGCAGCGACCCGCAGCCTCCGCAAGCTCCCCTTCGTCAGGGTCAGCGCCAGCGGCTGTCCCGTCCTCGGGTCACGACGTCAACGTCCGCAACACGTTCGTCGAGACTGGTCCTCCCCGCGGGTCCCCAGGGCGCCGTTTGAGGCGGAACCTCACTGAGGGGGACGACCCCGGCGTGGACCCCGCCCTGGACTTGAGGATGGCAGAACTAGGCATCGATCCCGAGCGGAATATGCACATCGATGCGGGCGTCCCCCTGCCGGAGCTCCGCCGCGCGGCCTGTCTTGCCGCCGATGGCCCTGGTGCGGTGGCCCCGCAGGTCCTGGCCGGCGCTGCCCTTGACCAGCCGCCCGCGGTGGCCCCGCCGGCGGGGCATGGTCAGGCCGCCGCGGCCGCAGGTCCCGCCGCGGCTCCCGCCGCGGAGCCCATGGCCGCCCCGCAGGCGGCTGCCGCGGCGCCCAGTGCAGCACCCCCGCCGCCGCCTCCACCAGCTGCAGACGCAGCCGAGGCCCCTCCACGGCGCCGCGCCCGGCGCGCCCGGGTTGGTTGCCCCGTCCCGGGCTGCCCTCGCAGTGACCTTGCCGCCAGCGCCGGCTGGTCAGACCATCAGGCAATGCGACAACACCTCAATGAGCATGCGGCCGGCAGGTTCCCAGACTTGCCGCCGGTCCCACAGGCCTACCTGGACGAACACAGCCTATCGCAATGCACGGTTTGCCAGCGCTTCCTCCACACGCGGTTCGGGCAGGTATGCCCGAGGTGCCGCCCCGCTGCTCGAGCTGCGGCCGCCGACGCCGCGCCGGCTGCACTCAACACCGAGCCGCCCCCGCCGCGAGGGTTGCCTTCACTGGAAGAGGTCTTTGCCAGCCAGGCCGGCACGAAGAAGTACGTCCCTAAGGGTGCTCGGGACCTCTGGGCGCGGTGCCTGACGCAGGCCGCGGCCCTCGTCGTTCACGCCAACAGCGAGGCGGCTTGGGTCCAGCTGGCTATGCTGCCCAAGTGCGTGCTGCGTCCCCACACCCGGGGAGGGCGCGGCAGCCGGCACGCGGCCGAGGCGGAGACGAGGCAGCTCTGCAGGCGTTGGCTGGACGGCGAAAGGGCTTCCCTTTGGGCCGAGACCACGGAGCGACGTCCGGCCAAGCGAAGCGCCACCGCCGCCGACAAGGCCAGAAGGTGTCTGGAGCTTGCTGCTGACGCGCAATACTCCAAGAGCTGCTCCAGCCTGGTTAGCGAGCCGCCGACGGCCGTAACCCGCGACGTCCTTCAGCAGATGCGCCGCAAGCATCCGCAGAGTCGTCAGCCTGTGGACTTGGCCGCCCTTCCTGCCGTGCACGCCGCGGCCGCCTTGCAGGTCGACGAAACCGTGGTGGCGAAGGAGGTCCGGGCTTTCCCCCGGGGCACAGGGACGAGGTCACCGGACAGCAGCGCAGCTTGGTCGCCCTCCTCGCTTGCGGCCACGCGCCCGCCTCCGTTTCTGAATGTTTCGCCGGCGCCTCCCTGGTGGCCCTCCCAAAGAAAGGTGGTGGCTTGCGGCCGGTTGCCGTCGGTGAGACGCTCCGGCGCCTTGTTGGGAAATGTCTGTGCCGCGAGGTCGCCGACGCGGCGCGCGACCGCCTGGCGCCGCTCCAAGTCGGCGTCGCGGTGCCTGGAGGGGCCGAGGCGGTTGTCCACGTCGCCCGCCAGTGGTGGGCGCGCAACCTGGGGCACCGCGAGAAGGTTTTCGTCAAGCTTGACCTCTCCAACGCGTTCAACACCTTAGACAGACAGGCTCTCCTCCAGGCCCTCCACGAGGAATTCCCCTGCTTGGCGCCGTGGGCCGACTGGTGCTACTCGCGCCCGTCTTTCCTCCGCCTCGGCAAGCACAGGATCCGCTCGGAGTGCGGAGTCCAGCAAGGCGACCCTCTTGGACCTTTGCTTTTCGCGCTGGCTCTCCAGCGGTGCGCAGAACAGGTCCTTCACGCCGCTCCCCACCCTGCCCGGCCCGCACCCCCGGGCCAGGTCGACCTCAAGGTTTTCTTCCTGGACGACGGGACTCTGGCGGGCGACTGGCGCGCCGTGGCGCACCTCCTCCACGAGCTGGTCGCCGCCCTCGCAGCTGTGGGACTCGAACTTAGCACCGGGCCTGGGAAGTGCGAGGTGGTCCCAGCCGGCGGCACTGACAGCGCAGTAGACTTGAACGCCTTCCCGCAGGGGTTCCGCCTCCGCACGGACAGGAGTTTCGAGCTCCTCGGGGCGCCCGTCGGCGACGACGCCTTCTGCTGCCAGCACACGAAGAATCGGGTCTCTGCGGCACAGGAACTCTTGGACACGCTGGGGGCACTGGAGGACGCGCAGGTCGGCCTGCACCTCCTGCGCCAGTGTGCGTCGTTTTGCAAGCTGGGCTATAGCGCGCGGGTAGTGCCGCCCACCGCGCACACAGCGGCCCTGCAGGAGCTGGACGACAGGGTGAGGGCTTGCCTCGAGCAGGTGGCTGGCTGCTCGCTCACCGACGCGTCCTGGCGGCAGGCGCAACTCAAGCTGCGGAAGGGGGGCCTCGGCTTGCGCTCAGGCGAACAGCACGCGGCCGCAGCCTACGTTGCCTCCCGGGCCGCCTGCTCCGCCCTCTGCAGGCAGCTCTACCCGGGCTACACCGACGAGGCAGGGCACGACGGGGGCGCGCTCGCGAACGCTGTGCAGGCCCACAACGCCCTCGTCTCGGACGCGGACAGGGTGGCCTTCGACCTGGAGCAGCACGGCAACCAGCAGAAACTCAGCGACGCTGTTGACGACGCGGCGCTCGCTAGCCTCCGCTCGGGCGCCTCTGTCGCCACGCAGGCGCACCTGAGCCTGCTCCAGGCGCCCGGCGCCGGCGCCTACCTCCAAGCGCCGCCCTGCGAGGCCGCGGGTACCCGCCTCCAGCACGGCCTCTGCCAGGTGGCGGTTCAGCGACGACTCCGAGTCCAGTTCCTCGACCGGGAGGACTTCTGCCCCGCTTGCGGAGAGGTGATGGACGTCTGGCTGGACCACGCCGTTGCCTGCTCCTGCCGGGGCGACAGGACAAAGCGGCACAACGCGCTCCGGAACCAGGGGTTCTTTGACGCGCAGGCGGCCGGCTTCGCGGGGGCAGAGCTGGAGCGGCCATGGCTCCTTCCACCGCGCGCCGCCAACGAGGGGCCGCCGGGCGGCGAGCTGGACGGGCAGGACTTGGACGCCGGCGACCGCCGCCCCGCTGACGTCTACCTGCCCAGGTGGCGCAACGGGGTGCCAGCAGCCTGGGACTTCGCCGTCACTTCCGGGCTTCGCGCCGACCTCCTCCCCGCCTCCGCCGCGTCCCCCAGCGCGGCCACGGAGCGCTACGAGGAGTTCAAGCGGCTGCACCAGGACACCGAGCGCCAGTGCGTGGCGCAGGGCCTCACCTTCATACCCATGGTGGTGGAGGCCCACGGTGGCGGGTGGGGGCGCGAGGCCAGGAGAGCTTTCGCGATCCTGGCCAAGCGGGTGGCTGACGCCACCGGGGAGGAAGCCGCCGTAGTGGCGGACCGGCACGCCCAGCGACTCTCAATCTCCCTTCATCGGGAGAACGCGCGGGCGGTGCTGCGGCGGCTGCAGCCG